GCTCCGGTGGCCTAGTGGCTAGAGCGTCCGCCTCAGATGTGGCAGGACATGGGTTCAATACCCGGCCAATTCGTACCAAATACCTTTTTAAAAAATGGTACTAACAGCTTCCTTGCTTGGCGCTTAACATTAAGAGGTTAGTGTTAGGAATGGTTCGTTTAGTGTCAGGATAATGTAACTGGATGGGACATCATGCTACATGTCTGCGGCATGATGCGCCATTGCTAGACATCATATAAACTGCCACACTGCAGATATTTTAGCGATATGACTGAAAAACAGTTAGAGCTACGTTAAAAATCCAGCGCGCGCGCACACACACACACACACATTTATCGCATGAGGCACTTATGCACGTGAGCACACAGGCACACGTATACAAACACAGAAAGAGATAAGAAAACGTATTGTGGTGAACAGGAATCGATGTCTTGTGACAGAATCCAAGATATACATAAACTTAATTAAAATATAGGTGTTGCACATATCTTATTTCAATTACTCGTAGTTTTCGGTTTTCGATAAAATTTAATGTAACTCACTGTGAACATAACGCTATCGTCTGTGACCAAAATTATAAACTTACGAGCATATATAAAATCAATTTATATTTCGCTGATCAATACCAACTGCTACAGGGATATTGGTATAACTACTGTTGTTTATATTTGTCACGTGATTGTTGGAAAGTGAACTTTAAAGAAACTAAAAATAGCATTAAAAATAGCATTAAGTCTTTACGTTATGTGTTGTTAGCAATAACTGAATCATTTCCTGTTACTGGCTTATTATATAAGACACAAAGAATAGTTATTGGATTTTTTATTTATAAAGTCCTGATAAAAAAGGAAAATAAACAATGATTTATGTTTGGAGAGAAATTCAAAAAATATTTAAATTACTAGAATTTCACTATGAACATTTTTCATCCAATACCCTCACCCACGACCCGTCGCCACTATCACAAACGATCACCAATAATAACCCAAATGTGGCGGATCTCGACCTATTACATAGTAAGCACACGCTGGTGTATACGTCCAACAGCTTACATTCCTATTGGTCCTTATGCGTGTACGGAGCGTGTTCCTCAGAAAACAAAATTTAAATAATAGTGAAAGAAACGTAAATATTGAATATTTAGAATGCCAAGTCTAATACAGTTCGAAAGAATACACATTATTTATCTTAGGTTGTTCAATTTTACAAAGAAAGATGCAAAAACATAAACAGTAACAGCAAAAAGTAGAAGGTTAACAATCAAAATTAGTTTGTTTTTTTTGGTGGGTTGGTTTTTCAGTCATATAAATACGATTTCTGCAATGTGGTAGTTTATAGGGATGTCTGGCGCAGGGGCATTATGTGGTATTATGTCTCATCCAGTCAAATTATCCTGACACCAGGCCAACCAGTCCTACTACTAACCTGCTTATGCTGAGTCTAAAGCGAGGCGGCTGTTAGTACCACTTTTAGATGACTTTGGTATGACTCGGCTTGGGTTCGAACCCGAGTTTTCCGCCTCGGACGCTCTAACCACTTAGACAATCTAAGATGTTCCAGGCAAAGTTGTTCCTCTTTATGTGCGTTCATTGTATCAGTTCCAATTATAACCAAACCAACTGGATAAATTCTTACCAAGTGTTAATTGGACCAAAACCTACTGGATACATTTTTATCGTGTGTTAAACCGCTCCGGTGGCCTAGTGGTTAGAGCGTCCGCCTCGGATGCGAGAGGTCGTGGGTTCGATCCCCGGTCGAGTCATACCAAAGACTTACAAAAATGGTACTAACAGCTGCCTCGCTTGACGCTCAGCATTAAGAGGTTAGTGTTAGGACTGGTCGGCCTGGTGTCAGGATAATGTGACTGGGTGGGACATCATGCTACATGACTGCAGAATGATGCCCCAGTGCTAGACATCACTATAAACTGCCACACTGCAGACATCGTAGTGATATGACTGAAAAATTGTTAAAGCTACGTTAAAAATCACCAACAACACACCACACCATCGTGTGTTAATTGGATCAAAACCTGATGGATACATTTTTATTGTGTGTTAATTGGACCAAAACCTGCTGTATAACTTTTACTCAGTGTTAATTCGATTAAAACCTACCGGATACATTATACCCAGTGTTGATTGTCCGAATACCAGTACCTACCGGACACATTATACCCAGTTTTGATTGGTTGAACATCAGTACCTACCAGACACATTATACTGAGTGTTGATTGGTTGAATACCAGTACCTACCGGACACATTATACTGAGTGTTGATTGGTCGAATACCAGTAACTACCGGACACATTATACCGAGTGTTGATTGGTCGAATATCAGTACCTACCGGACACATTACACCCAGTGTTGATTGGTCGAATTCCAGTAGGCCTACCTACCGGACACATTATTCTTGCAGTCGGACATCCGGGTAATTGTCACGTGACAATCATCGCAACACGGCCGCCATATTTGTTTGGGGGAAAACAAGCAATCGTATGTAAAATGACTAAGACCTGTTGTGTACCAGGTTGTAATTCCAACGAAAGGAAAAATCAGGATCTAACTAATTTGGGGACTGGGATTGTGTTTAAAGAGTAAAGTGGAACACAGAAAATACATGCTTCAAATATTTATTTGAATACATGTTCTTAATTGTATAATTATATAATGATATAACAAGTACATTATAACAGAAGTTTAAACATAATCAGTGACAAATAATTGTTTTTACATGTATATTGTGAACAAATTATTATCAGCAAATATTATGGAAATGTATCACAAATATTATTGAAATGTACCTGAATGAAATGTTATTATCATTTGTATCATATATGTAAATTACAGTGTTCAAGCTGTTTTATTGTCTCAATATATTGATCATGTTGAACCACTGAAATAAAATGACAAAATGAAAAAAAATGCTGCATTGTTTGTTTTTTTTTTTGCTATTTGTTGGAGAGAAATTGTTGAAAACATTTGAGCTGTACATAGTTAACATTTACATGCAGTATAGTTGTGATCATTGTTATTTAACTATTTCCATAGCAAAATGCTGTGTTTCATTTATTTGCCAGTTTTCTGCATTCTTTACAATACCAGGTTTTTGATGGTGGCAGACACTTTAGTCCTATGCATTTCATATGAAAATATTCGTCACAATGATCACAAGCAACCATGTTAACTTGGATTTTGTTTTACATGCACAATAGGATTTGTTACTGTCAGAAGACACGTTCAATGTGTTAGCTTTAGTACTACATTCATCTTGAACATGAAGCTCCAATCGCCTTGTGACCAGCTCAGGAAGGATATGTTTCTTCCAAAACAACTGCAAAGTTTGTAACATACCATTTATAAAGTCGTTGTCCCGATGCACTCTTACAATAATGCAGTCAGTGGGTGTCCACACTACTAAATCTGCAAAGCCTGCATTACACACATGCATTTGCAACTGTACTTGTGCAAAGTACTTGTGTGTCTTCTTGAGTTGATAATTCCTGTCTAGATAAAATTCAGTGTCACTTAAGGCATCAATTAGTGGTGTTTCCCGATACTTGTAGGGACATTTAATTTCTAGTACACCAGCTCCACAACACTTGCATTCCACCTGACCATCTGGAGAGGCTCCCAAGAATGGACTGTCTTTACAAATAAAAAGTCCTGATTTCTGGACCTTACCTTCCAAATGCTCAGTTGGAATTGTTATATAAACATTACGACATGGAACGTTATCTGGAGTTGGTCCTGATTGTGTATAAACGTTGGTGTACGTTGTATTCAATAGCTGGCCATTGTTTCGGGTCATTGATCCATGTATCTGCAGGCACCTTATACGGACAAATATTAATTGCAATCAACTTCAGTTTTGCAGAGTACCTCTGTTGTGCTTCCAAATGCAAATTGTCTTGATATTGGTAAGACATTTCAATTAAATTTAACGATCACTTGAATAATAATAATAATAATAATAATAATAATAATAATAATAATAATAATAATAATAATAATAATAGTCGCATTCTTCGAATTTCCGATGTTCACAAGCGTGTCCCCCAAACAAATATGGCGGACGAGTTGCTATGTTGAGCACGTGATTCGATGACTTCAGTCCGACTGCAAGAATACAAAGTGTTGATTGGTCGAATACCAGTACCTACCAGACACATTATACCCAGTGTTGATTGGTCGAATACCAGTACCTACCAGACACATTATACTGAGTGTTGATTGGTCGAATACCAGTACCTACCGGACACCTTTCTAACCAGTGTAATGGACCAAAATATAATGTATGCATTGTTACCGTTTTATTTGGACCAAAACTTATTGGACACGTTCTTGCACAGTGCTGAATGGACAAAAACTTACTGGACATGTTCGTACATGTTCATTGGACCAAAATTTACTCGATTAATTGTTACTAATGTGTTAGTTGATCCAGAACCTACTGGATACGTTCTTACTCAGTGCTAATTGGACCAAAACAAACTGGATACGATCTTATCTAGTGTTAATTGGTACAAAACATACTGGATACGTTCAAATCCAGTGTTAACTTGACTCAATACTACTGGACACGCTTCTTATCTTGTGTTAGCTGTATCAAAACCTACTGAACACGCTCTTGCCCAGCATTAATGGGACCACAACCTAATACACACGTTCTTACACAGCGTAATCTAGTTGACCAGAACATACTGGATACGTTCTAACCCAGTGTAAGATCTACCAAAAAGTCCACTGGGTACGTTCTTATCCAGTGCTAATTGAACCAAAGCCTACTGTACACGTGCATACCTAGTTTTAAATGGACTAAAAGACTACGAGATATGCTCCTACCAGGTGTTAATTGAATACACGATAGCATGCCATGGAGTTTGCTTGTTAAGTGCGTAATGTGATTATCATGTAAAAACAAGTTGTGGTGTGTGTGTGTGTGTGTGTGTGTGTGTGTGTGTGTGAGAGAGATTGAGAGAGAGAGAGAGAATGTCAACAGAGAACGTAAAGTTCACATCTAGTCTAGCATGCGAATTAATTACCAAACTTTTAGTATCCATGTCTTCTCTGAACTG